ACCCTCTCGTTCGATCTGTGCTGCTTACGGGACGAAGCTGCTTCCTCTTCCTTCAGGGCTGCTGGGTCGAGCTTCTCTACGGCCTTGACCAGCTCTGCGTCGTCCTTTGGGAAGTACTTGGTCGCAACAGTCGGGACACCCACTGTACGTGGGATGCGACTCTGATAGGCAGCATAGCGGATGCTGGGGTCGGTAGTGCCTGCCAACACATCTTTGAACAGGTCCTTCCTCGTAGCCTTCAGCAGAGCGCTGTAGATGACTCGCGCCGCTGAGTACTTGGTGAGACACGGGGCCCAGCGCTGGGGCGTCGCGTTCTTGCTCTTGATGCCCTCGGCTTGCTTCTCAAACTCATGCGCTCCAGCCAGAGTGTAGGCATACGCCTTTGCTTCGAGCACATCCGTCTCTGATGCTCCGCTTGCGCTCGTGTTGGAGATGAGTTCGATAACCTGGTTCGCGTATTGTGTAGCCTTGTGTAAGCGCGAGAGGATGTGTTTACGCGTAGAGCCGGTGATGTTCTTGTCGGCGTTCTCGTCGGAGTGAGAGGCTTTCATAGCCATGGCCTGCGCCCATGCCCTTTCCGAGTTGAGCAGGAGCAGGTGAAGAGCCCTATCACAGTCAGCTTCCAGGATGCGTCTCCTACACGTGACTCGTACTCATTGTTGTTCTTGATATCCTCCGCCGTGACCGGGGCCTTTACAGCATATTTCGCGTTCTTGGGTGTTGCCCGACCGAGTTTCTTGTTCACAATGCGGAGACGTCGCGACAACTGCTCATGGTAGGTATTGTAATCACCGATGAGGAACGCCGACTCCCGGTAGTCGGTCACGAACTTGGTGATATCCATGGCCGGGCAGCTGGTGTTGAGTGCAACTGTGGGGATGCGGCTGATATGGAGGGGCATCAATTGGCGAGCTATCCATGGCCCTGCCAAGCGAATCGGAATCTCAGGTCATTGTCGCGCCGTAAACTTTTCGAGACATCATAGACATCGGGCCCGCCACTGCCACGCGCGCTACTCGTTCTTTCCCTTGTGTCTTTTGCTTTAGTCTCCTTCTTCTGAGTCAGCACTCTGTACATTGGTTTTCCCCTCCACCGCTTTTCCTGTACAGTAGTCCTCATCGCATAGCTGGAGGCATGCACGAGTGTGGGCAAACCCCAATACCCAGTCCTCTTGCCATCATATCTAATAGTGGCAGTTTATAGAATTCTTCAAAGCCTCTGGTAATCTGCGCCGGCCCCATCTGCGCTTCCTACATTCCAGGTGATGCTCGAGCGTGCTTCGACATGCCTCGAATCCGGCGGACGCCAGCTCTTCCGCGCTCCGAAGCCATGTCTACGCAGTCGGCGCACGTTGCACCCAACCCCTCGGCACCACGGTGCAAGCAATCTCAGTCTCTCGTCTTGGCAGGCCGCATCCCCGACTATCGAAGAAACAGGTGGTGATGGTGGCAATGGAGCGGCGAACAAGGCCAATACAGACCAGAAAACCCACGAGGGTCCAATGCTCGACTTTCTGTACCCGGAAAAGACCCTGGCGCTTCTTGGAAGACTATCCGTAAACCCGCTCAGTTCAATGGAACAGAGGCGACGACAGCCGTATGCGATTCGAGCCCGCCATTTTTCGACAATACAGGCGCAACCTGTGCAGGATGAAACACAAATGGATGTGGATAGGGTAGAACAGGCCAAAAAGGATGCGGTAGAGCTATTACAAGGGTCGGATGCAGTCACAGAATTGCAGACGTTACTAGATTCTCCGCCACCTGAGAAGCAAGAGTTGGCTTGGCAGTTGTATACTAGCATCCCCGAAGATCGCTTGGCGGAAGTAGAGACACTGCGAGTACAGCTCCTGGACTATCTTGTCAAGGACGGTGAGCCTACAGTACCGGAGCGAGTCATTCAGGTGTTTGACGGGCTTCGCCCAGCCGCGCGCCGGCTATCATCACACCGAGCAGCTATCAAAGCCTACGTTGCATTAGGGATGATAGGGCCGGCAGTTCGACTTTATGACAAGCTCGCCAGGCCCATTGCATCAGGAGGTCCCAGTCAGGTTATACTGCATAGTGGCATAGATGCAATCCTTCGACGAGCCGTTCTCGACGAGCAGTGGGATCTCGCGTTTCGTGTCTTCAGAGAGTTCCATCGGAAAGCGCATTCCATTCGTGGTACTCCCACATACCACGCGATTCGCACCGGCAATACACTCCCAGAATTGTGGGGTCAGGCTGCAACATTACCAGAACTTCTGGAACATTTCAAGTCTTTCTTGCGTTACGTCAGGGAGTTTCAACACGAACTCACATCTACGCCATCTCGAGAGCGTGATCTGGCCTGCTTTGTCATGTCCTTCGTACCTCACGTAATGGATCGCGTCTTGCTTACAGAAAAATTCGACGATGATTTTGTTTGGGATTACTTCATCGGGCTCTTTGATAGTCTCCACTCTCTAAATCTCCCCACTTCAACTTGCTACGAGCACGCGATTCGAAAGATGTTGGACCTTCCAAAATACCGAGAATACACCAACCAGCGAAAGATTCCGCTCGAGCTATATAGAAGATACCGGCAACTTTATCTCTATGGGGACGAAAGCACTTCCGAAGGGCCACCATCACGGGTCTTGATCAGGTCCATGATCTATCAGCATTCTTCGAAAGGCGGCCTGGGACGTGTTCAGGATCATCTACACGATTTACGCACCTGGTACCCAACTAAGCCGCTACGGTCTGGTCTTCTCAAGTACCTGATTCGTACGTATGCCAGGGTTGGTAATGTGGAGAAGGTGGACGAATACGTCAATGAGCTTCGATTACATCACCCAGACGAAGTGACAATCAGCGTACTCTCATCACTTCCGTATGTGTATGCACGACGCGCGGATGTCGATGGCACCATCACCCAGTTCAAACGCATACACGAAGAGTTTCAGATGACCCCGGATACTGCTTGTTGGAATATTTTACTGCTTGCCTACGTCCGTTCCGAGGACCTCGATGGTGCTCTGGAATGCTTCAACAATTGCTTGGACTATGGCGTTGCACCAGATGTGAAAACTTTCGGGCCTCTGCTCGACTTCTGTGCCCATAGAGGTGATGTTGAGGCTTTCGAGACACTCTTCTCCAAAGCCAAGCAGATGGGGATACAACTTGACACGGATGTTCGTGCAAGAGCGGGCTATGTCGAAGCCTTTCTAAATGCGGGGGATCCAGAAGGCGCCGAAGCGATCGCATATGGCATGCTCAACAGTTATAAGGCAGGGACACTTCACGGATACCCTCTCTCACATACATGGAACTTGTTGATCCAACAGCGCGCAATGGACCGCGACCTAGCGGGTAGCAGGCAGCAATACAAACTAATGGTCGAGAACAACATCCCGCTGGATAGCTGGACTTACGGCAGTCTGATGCGAGCATTAGTCGAAGTAAAGCAGACCAACGCTGCTTACAAACTGCTGAGAGTCACAATGCCGGAACAAGGATACCGGGTCCATGCACTTCACTACGCCATAGTGATGACCGGTTTCTTGAGGGAGGGGCAGTATCAACTAGCTGTGGAAGCTCACGAAAGGATGAAGGCGCGCCAGGTTCCTCAAACCGAGAGCTCCCGCCAAGCTTCACTACAAGCGCTTGGTATGGCTGATTCCCGGCAGCTAAAGAGGAGAGGAGCCAAACATCCAAACTACAAGTTGCTTCGAGTCGAAGAGGCTCTTGAAGAGATGCTCGTCTCCAGTACAGCGCAGGAGATTGCGCACCGACAACCAGTACATGAACGATTTGACGATGTGGACAGCTTCGATGACCTTCGAGCGTCCTACTATGGCCTGATGATCTCGCTCTATAGCGCCAGATCGGCGTATAAACTCTGCAAGAAGCTTTTCCAAAAGGTCGAAGCGATGGCAGCAGAGTCCGGCACCTACGCTATACCACTGACCCTCGTCACGTCGATGATGGAGGCGCATCTGAAGGCAAACAACCACGCCGAAGTCGCAAACTTCTGGGACCTCGCGCGCACTTCCGCCGCAAAACTCACCAAGACCTTCCACCAAGCCGTGAACCAGAGCGCCCCTGTCCCAGACGACACCTCCATCACCGACCCTCTGATCCTCCAACGCTTCCAAGAAGCGCACATCTCCGACAACCGCCGCCAAATCCTCGCCAAGCCCGCCCGCATCTACATCCGCAGTCTCCTCGCGCAGTCCGACGCCGACAACCCCAACGCCGCGCAAGACGCCCAACGCACCATCCGCGACCTCCTCGTCAACGGCTTCACAGTCGACAACCTCACCTGGAACGAACTCATCCAGCAGCTCATCCACCGCAACCACATCATCGACGCCTTTTCCATCTGCGAAGAATACCTCATGCCCCGCTTCCCGGGTTGGCGCGAACTCATCCCCAACTTCATCCGCAACGACCGCAAAGGTTTCCAGTGGATGGAGCTGCGTCCGAATGATCTCAACAAAGCTAGTGTGCTGCCGCGGTACAAGACTATTATCTTGTTGGCGAAGGCTTTTGGCCAGGTTAAGAGCGATGAGAGGAATGGGGTTGGGTATGATGAGGAGGCTGGGGCTTGGTTGGCGGAGGTGCTTGAGAGTAAGGCGCCGTTGACTATGCGGGCTATTGATTCTATGCCGAGGACTTTTGATAAGTTGCAGCAGAGGCATTTTGGGGTTTTGTAGATGGTGGAGGGCGGTGTATGTGTAGATTATGTAGTATAGTATGATTGGAACGTATTGCATGTATTAAGAGTTTGGTTTGTTTACCGGTACTATGACGATGTATGCGTTTCACGTTTTGCTTGGGTCGCGTTGATGATTACAAGGTTGATGGTGGCGGTCGTACTGCGCGATACACGAAGTGCGTTCTTGGGAAATGAGATGTCATTAAGATACTACGAAAGACTACCGATACATGTTATTGAAGGAAAGAGATCATTGCTGGTAGTAAAGACCGTGTTTACAGAAACCAAAGCCACACAACGCCTGACGAGAACAGTCTTCATTCTTCCATTCCTTCCTCCATGGCGAGAAACTCTTCCCAAGCTTCGGTTGGTACGTCGTCCATATCGTCGTCGAATGGATCGAAGTGCGCTTCGTGGTCAGGTTGCAAACTGGTCTTTTGCGAGTTGTCGATGTGTGTGGTTGTTGGTACGGCTGATGGTGCGTTGGCGTCGTAGTCGATGGCGCCGTGGGAGAGGAGGAGGTCGACGATCTCGTTGTGCTTGTGAGCTTTTGCATGTCTCAACGCTGTCCAATAATTCCATTTCTTTGCGTTTACGTCGATGTCTTTGTGCTGCAGAAGTAGCTTCACAGCTTCCAGTTTGTTGGTTGCAACAGCAGTCACCAGAGGAGTTGTACCATACGCTTCGTCGTGTTTGTTCACGTCGATGTCTGGGTAAGCTAGCAGAGACGCGATCATTTCGCAATCATTCTTGCTAGCAGCGACCTGAAGGATAGTCTTACGCCTTCCTGGAAGAATTTTGTTCGGACCTCCGAAGTCCGGATGCTTTAGAAGTCGGTGAAGCAAATCTTCTTTGGTGAATGTGAGACTTGTTGATGAAACATCAGATGAGATGCGGTGACCATCTCTCATTGAGTCCGAGTATGCGAGTAGCAAGGAAGCCGTTTCCCAATGCCCCTCAGAGACTGCGTAGTGTAGAGGTTTTGCTGCACTGATAGCTTGGCAGTCAATATCAGCACTTCCATGGCGTATCAACTGCTCTACGACCATTGTTTGTCCTTTTGATGATGCATAGTGCAGAGGTGTCTCACCGTAATTGTCTCGGCAATTGACATCAGCACTTGGTAGGCTGAGCAACTGTTCTACGACTATTGTGTGTCCTTTTGATGATGCATAATGCAGGGGTGTTGCCGCTACCCTGTCTTGGGAATTGAGGATCACACTCGAGTGATGAATTAACTGCTCTACCACCATTGTATGGCCATTGGATGATGCATAGTGCAGAGGCGACGCTTCGTGATTGTCTCGGCAATTAACATCAACAGTTGGATGATGGATGAGCTGCTCTACAATAGCCTTATGCCCTTTCATGGCAGCCAGATGCAGTGCTCGCTTGCCGCGGGAGGTTTCCAAGGTCTTGTCGACGCGGCTGGAAGCGAGAAAGACTTGCATAACTTTTTCCCGTCCCAATAACGCTACCCAGTGTATTGGGGCATAGCTATTTCCTTGCCGATGATTGCAATCAATGCTAAGGTCATCAATCAACTTCGCCGTAAGTGCTTCGTGTCCTGTATGTATCGCAAATTCGAGTTTTTTCGGGGCAGATTGGTCTGTAAAATCGCACCCCAAACGGGCGAGGTACGCATCAACGATGCCAATATGACCCGCTTGTGAAAGGTAGTGCTTCAGTTTGAGTCCGGGAGCACGAAGTTCTTCTTGCGTCATGAACCCCAGTAAAGACTCGAACGTCTCGGTGCTATCACTTAAGATAGCTTCATGTAGGGGCAATCGATCGCTTCCATTCCTTGTATCCACTCTTGCGCCAACGTCAAGCAGATAATTGACCACCTCTACCTGGCCGGCTCTAGCAGCGCAATGCAAGACAGTGGATCCGTCATCGGCCTTCGTATCAACTGTCATGCCTGCGTCCAGGAAGACGCGCAGCCGGTTCAAGTCGCCCAAAGTGGCTACTTGCATGAAGTTTGATACACTGCATGGCTTTGCAGTACTGATGGTATTGGACTGTTGATCTTGCAAGTGTGTTTTGTCGTTATATTCATCGCGGCAGCTATGGCTTAGGGTAGGGTGATTCTTCTTTTGATGCCTCCTGAGATTGTCCTTTCGATTTGAAGTGAACACACAGCGCTCAACATGGCAACGGTGCTGTTCATTACCCGCACGGTGTTGAGATTTGATGTGACGTTCGAGGTCCAGACGAGAAGCAAAGCCTCTTGTACAGGTCCGGCATTTGTAAGGCTTTGTGTGTGTTTTCAGATGCTTACTCCTATGTGTTAGTCAGGCCTTGTTACATAGTGGGCTAGTCTATTAGCTTACTTCAGCTTTCCTTGTGTATCAATTCGCTTGGAACAAAGATCGCACGCGAACTTCTCGAATGTCATTTTGGCGTCTTTCGCATGCCATCAGTAGGCGTCCGGTTTATATTTGTATTTGATTTGAGGCTGCAGGCGCCAAGCCGGTTTCCTGTCTGGCGTTCCAGATGGGACTGGCAACTTGGGCGCATTGACCTCAAAGGGCACGTAGGCTGTGTGCCGCTCAATTCGCAGTCGGTCTCATACCTAGCCTTACAAATAGCCGCACTCCCCGATCCCGCCTCTCAGTCGAAGACAGATTTCCGCCGTCAGCCTGCTCTTTGCTACACCAGCAACCTAGATACCTTCTACCCACTCAGCGATACTACCCACTACCCACCATCCTCAGGACAACGCTGATCTCCATACTACCAGCCTCGGCATTACCACAATGTCGCAGCAATTCCCTCCAACGACGTCCGAACGGGACTCCAACAACACTCCAGCGTTTGGAGCATACCACAACGACGACGATCAGGACTTTGTGTGAGTCACCTTTTTTTTTTAACATCATGCAGGTCTGCCTCCCAGCGCTTGATCACTCAAGACCAGAACCAATACAACAATGACGGGTGCGCCACGTTCTTCGTGCCCTTCCATCAGCCAGTCGCCGGTCACAGCTACGCCTCCTTTCCCCAGCAAGTTGCACGGGCCAATGAAATTCTTCCACATGCGCAGGCAGAGCAGCACGCTGGACCTCACTACCCCTGTCAAGACAATTCCTGGGACCCTGCCGCCTTCGATGCCTACCACACTGGAGGATTGCAGCATCACGGGACTCGCACTCATGGTTCAGCTGCCTTCCCAACCACACTGAACACACTCATCGATTACAACTCGAACAACCCAAAACAGGCACCTGGTGGAGGATTGCACCCCGAAACTGGCTTCTACAACACCTCGTTGAACCGTCTAGATATTGGAAATAACTTGGGACTTGCCCCACAGCTGCTTTGGCCAGACCCCTTGAGCAACACTTACGGCTATGATCAGCCAATCATGCCTACCACGGACTGGACCCAGCCTATTTCGGCCTTCCAGCCCAATCCAGCGCCAGCAGTTTTGACTGTTCCAGTCCCACCCACCACCGACGCAGCCAGCATTCGCTGCCCCGAAGGCTGCCCTGAGACCTTCGGTCGCAACGAAGAAATGCGGCGCCACATGAAGAAGCATGGAACGCCTCGCTTCAAGTGCCCCATCTACGATTGCCCCATGACATTCTACCGCAAGGACAAGCTACAGGACCACGCCAAGAAGGGCCACGGTAGCCGCGCATCCCTGAACATCCGTTAGTTCGCTACGTCTCACAGCATTCAGTAGGGCATGCATTGCTGTGTCGCAACGAGAGAGAAGACCACGAGGGTAAGATGGAGGTGTGCTACGGGCTTTCTTGGGCTTCGTCTTCGAGTCGCTATAGTTGTTCCGGTCTTTACAGCCTCTTCATTTTTTATTCCACACACACTCGTTACAGTTCGCTTTTACTATCCTTTTTGCTTTCTAGTTAGGTCGCTCCTTGTTAGTGAAATACAAGTCTTTCCTTTGCCTTGCCTGCCCATTCCCATCTCCATCGTGACAACCTTCCCCACCTCATTGCTCCCACAGAGCCTCACTTCGCCCCCAAAGTGCCCAGACTCCGGTGAGCCGTGGCGTTGACACGTCAATAAGCCACATCTATTAAGGGCACACTCGTCCAATCGCGAACAGAAAGGCTGCAGGTGCGATGGTCCTTCATGCGCAGTCTATCACACTTGTTGTTGTGCGTCGAAGGGCACGCGCGTCCAATGACAGGTTGGCGCGAAGTGGGGTCGACGCAGAGCTGGCGGGGCGAGGGGCACAGTGGCGTCGCTAGCGCGGTTGGGAGGGCGTGTGGCTGTTGGATTGTATATCTCCTCAGAGTTGCGTGTTGAATGTGCGTAGGATGCGCGCTGTGACTTCCGGTTCAAGAATAGAGACCGAGTGTGTATGAGAAGTGCACGAAGCGGAACGGCTTTCTCATCTACTCCATGAAAGCTGCACATCTTGGCCATCGATGAGAACAAGCAAGCTGGCCCATCGATTGACCTTTGCGACTACTCTAGTTTGGGTACTAGATTAAGTCGACTGAAGAATGGTTTACACAAAAGAGGTGGCTTGCTGGTCAATACCTCCGGGCTTTGCTCATCCATTGATCAGTATGTTCCGAGAAAACCCCACTTCACCCTGTCGGGTAGCTCCAGCTTGAGAATGACATACTACTCGTTGTAATACAATGCGTCATACAGTCGGATAACGACCGCCATAGTATAGTCAGTACAGGCAAATAGTCCTAACTTCAATGAGATCCTTCGGTCAATATCTCAAGAATGCAATCTCTGGTGGATGATACTGTTCGTCGAACAAAACCAGCATCCACGCTGTGATATTCGGCGCGTACGTCCGGACCTTGTTACTCTCTTCGAGTCCAGCCCATGTCTTTTCCAGAAGTCCCAAGCGCCCATCGCGTGTGATGTTGATATTTCCCAACAACAAAGCGAGCATGCATGCGCTGAGGCCGTAATTACCACTATCCAGCATGCACGAGGCGAGTCGGTTCCGAAATCGACATATATGTCCGAAAATTGCTATGCGGTCCGCCACCATTTGGTTATCGCAATCCTGCATGGTTCTAAATATGACAAGATAGCCCTAGGCACGGCATGAGGTGTAGTCTCGGGAAGTGGCAAAATTCTCGTAGAATCGATGGCTCCCTAGAAAAGTCCATTTCTCATCTTTGTTGATACTGGAAACATGGAGCATGTCGGCCATGTGTCTGCCACACAAGTCGTTGAAGTATGTTGCATCGAAACAGAGATCTGCACCTATCATATGGAGGTGCACGTCGTCTGATATCTTGGAAGACACCTCAATAGGGACCAGGAGAAATAACGCCGAGGCACATCTTTTCTCCTGGAATGTCCATGTTCGGCGGAACCAAGCATCTTGTGCAATGGACGTAAGCAGTTCAGTGGCCGCCTTAACTCGCTCACTTACTGGAGGCCATTCAGAGGACTCTCTGTTCGTCACATCCTTGTTGTATCTACAGTCGTAATAGAGGTATGTAATCAGCCGTTCTAAAGACAGATGATCCGTTATCGGTTGAGACAGTGGCGCCACCGTCCACTTGCTCTCTTCGTATACCCGATGCATGATCTTCAGATGTGCCTGGATGTCTGCCATTCTTGATCAATCCAAACAAATGCACACTTGCGAGATCTGGCAAACAGCATTGCGCGATGAAACACCAATGCCGGACAGCCGATAGGCATAGGTCCGCCTGCTTTCGACCAGTCCGATATATGATAGTGCGGTAGCGGTAACAGGCCTTCCATAAACTGTGTATGCTTCCAGCAGTAGGAGACAGTAATGTACGCCATGCCATCGGCATGTTCCTCTGGTGTCGTGAGCCGGTAGTCGTTGTAGCTATCGTCTGCAAGCCATCTCTCGACGGACACAGGCGTGATGAAACGAAGTCTGAGTGGCGTATTCTCCGGGACTCTATAGAGTGCCAGATCGAGAATCTTCTCAATCTCTTCGTGAAGAGCCTCTGGGGTACTGTATATCTCGTTCAAAGATAGATGGTCGTCGCGCTGCATGTTCGCGAACAAGAAACACAGATTGACAAATTGTTATTATCTGGGGAATTCGCGATCTTAAGGCCTAAAACGCTCCCTAGGCTCTTGAGCACATGTGGGTGCTGGTGATGAGAAGTGAGTTGCGGATGTGTAGTGGTTTGTTTGGGTGCCATGGACGACTCCAAAGGATATAAGCTCCAGGTATCGCGCTCGTCATGAGCCGGTATCTGTTGTTGGTGTTGTGTCAATCCAAAGCAGGTAGCGACACCAGGAAAGAACCTTGGAAGTGCTGTGCCACACTGCTCACGTGCAAAGTGGGGTGAAACCGCAACAAACCATACCAAACGCGGGAACCTCCCACCTCCATCACGCAGGCGCACCACAGCCCATCATGAAATGTGAATATTTTCATTACTTAATACTGGTAACCCAAAAAAAGCCAGCCAAACCAAAGCCGCAAACGAATGCATACCCAAATCTAACAAAACGCCCATTGCCCATTGCAAATGCCAAAAAGACTCGACCAAAACCCACCGCCCCGTCTATCGAGCGTATTTCATCGGATAGCATTAGACTCGTATATCAGGATATCGCGAAACCACCATTTTGAACGCCATAACAAACATGCACACACGTCGCATTTCCCATTGCCCGTTTCGCATCATCGCTATCATTAGTACAATGATCGTCGCTTCAGCTTATTCCTGCGTCACATTAGCACACATTCACCATCAAATCATCTCGCACTATGAAGTGAAGAACTTACGTAGCACCCCAACTCAACCGACTCTTCGACTTCGCTGCCTCAGGCCCCATCGCCGACCTCGGCCTCTCCTTCTCTTGTTCCTTCTCCTTCTGCGCCGCACCCGCTTCCGGTCCCGTCGCATTCGCAGTAACAGCATAGTAGCGCGGTGTAGTCGGTGTGTTGCGTCGCGGGTTCGGAGGACGCACGTTGGTGGGAAGAGGCGATGTCAACGGTGTATCGGCAGCTTGGGAGCCGACGGGTTTGGATGGGATGGCAGATGCGGCGGTGGAAGGACGGATGGACATGTTCTTGTCCTTGGGGGCGAGGACGCGACGCAGTTTGGATTCTTCGCGCTTGGGAAGGGCTTCTGGAGCTGGTGTTGCGGAATCGGTGGATGGCTGCTCGGGCTCTTGGGTCTTGCGGACGATCTTTTGCATCATGACCTTGAGACCGAGACTCCTCCTGCGATTGGTCTTGAGCTCTCTCAACTCAGCGGGTGGGACGTCGTGCGACATCAGGCTCCAGCGGTTGGGTGTCTCCTTAGGCGAGCTCTTGCTGCGGAGATGGCGTTGGGGAGTCTCTTGGATGCTGCCTTCACGTTCCGGGACTACGGGCATAGGTGGAATTGGTATCGTTTCCACGGGTGGCGCCTCGTCTGATGTCTTCGTCAGCGGTGGACTCGGTTCATGGATGAGTGTCGCACCACTTGAGCGAGCAGAGAAACGGTCAGGTCGGTCCATGGAGATGACACGCTGCCGGGTGCGCTGGGATCCGAGGCGCTCGTGATCGAGCATGAGCTGATACTTGGTGGCTTTGAGTTCGTCGATGGATTGCTGCAAGCGTTCAATCTCGTCTTGGTCCTGTGTGTGGAAGGTGGCAGCGGCGTCAAGTTCTCCTTGGATGTCCTTGACGTAGTGATCCTTCTCCGCAATGGTATTCCTCAGCAACTCCATCTCTTCGTCCTTGCTGGCAAGTGCTTCCCGTAGCTCGGACACCTGACCCTCCATGCGCTGGAAATGAACACGATGCACTACGCTTGGGCGCGCGGTCTCCATGTCCTCGTTGACTTCCATCTCTTGGCTGAGCTGCACCTTGATAGCCTCAGCCTCTTGGAGCGCAGTAAACAAGCGGGCATTAGCCTCGACCAGTCGCTTCTCGAGAGCGGCCACCTCGGCGTATAGGCGAAGGTTGTCTTGCTGGGTGGTGTTGAACATAGCCTCGAGCTCCTCCTTGTCGTGCTCATCCTCATCAATCGTTGGCAATCGTCCGACCACGGAGTTTGCTCGACTTCTGGGCTGTGGCTCAAGTTCCGCCAGCTTAACGGCGGACTCCTCCAACTGCTCTCGAGTCTGAGTGTGTTTTTCTCGCTCTTCCTTGAGGGCCTTTTGTATCTTCTTGGCAACATCCCATGATCTTTGCAGCTCGGCTTGCTGATTGACAACCTCCTCCTTGGTCTGGGCACTGGCAGCGAGTTGTTCTCGCAGCTTTGCAATAATCACATCCTTGTCTTCCTCAACTTCCGGAGAACTTCTGCCCTTCTTGATCCGTAGCATTCGGACTTCAAGGGCATGGTCCCCATCGTCCCCGTCTTCCGAAAACCGCGGGCTCGACTGTCGTTCCATAGAGATCAACCGCTCCCTCATTAGCTTCAGCTGCGCATCTTTGACTTCCATTATCGTCTTGTGTTGCCTGGCCATCTCTTCAAGCTGGCTATCGCGGTCCTGTATGCTCTTGTCTTTCTGCTCGTTGCCCTTTCGAAGTGCAAACAGCTCGATGTCTTTCCGGTATACAATCGCTTGATGGTCCCGGCCCAAGTTTTGTTTGATGGCTTTCAACTGATCACGGAGGCCAGAGTATTCCGCAAAGGTATCATTGAGCGCTTCGCGTGCATTTTGAAGTTCCTCCTTCGTGATTCGAAGTTGGACTTCACGGGCCTTGTGTGCTGTTTTAGATTCCGT